ATTCATACTCAGAGCCAGCTAATTTAGCAGTGAAAATGAGGTTTGAAATGCTTTTTATCATGGCAAATGACACCCACTGTTCTATACCCATAGCTTGTTCTCATCACAAAAAAACAATGTTATTTTATATTTATTTTAATCTTTGCACCGATTAAAAATATATTTTAACAGTCCTGGCTTCAAAAATGAAAGAACTGATTTGCAGGCAGGATTTCAAGAGTGTAACTGTACCTCATCCCTCAGTCCTAAACTGAACATTACAAATGAATTTGTATCAGTTCTTGGCCTTTTAGCTAAGATAGGGTGTAGAAATTAATTTGAGGGTCCATTTGAACTTAAAACTGAAAACACTGCCACACCCTAAATGCAGGACATGGTTCTAAGTCCCTATGAAATAAGAGCCCAATTAACTTAAATGGCTCTGGTGAAATTCTGATACCTAAAAAACAAAACAATCTATTAGTAATCAGAAACTAAATAAGACCAAAACAATGTATTGTTGATCAGAAACTAAATAGTATTAAAGCAATGCATTAGTGATCAGAAAGTACTTCTTCCAGGGATGAGTGAGAAGTGCAAGGACCCTGGAATAAACCTAAAAAGCCAGAGAGGTATGGCTAAAAATGGTGGGCGTAAGTAATAAAAAAGGGAGCTCTCTTGTTCCACACAAAATGCAATTTTGAAACATATGTACTGTGTGTTTACAGCTGCACAAAGTTGTGCTATAAAACTCACTGTAACTGCATAAACTTACAATGACCATTAAAACTATAAATATTTATGAGAATTAAGAAGCCCCAGAAAGCTCCTTTTTTCAGCAGGAAGACATAGTTTCTAGTAGAGGTGAGCAGGTACAATAAGAGACAAGAAAACAGAAGGGGTACTTATTTATTCTCAGGAAAACTGGAGTCAAGAAAAGGATCATTTCTCCCTCTAGCCCCTGGAAATAGGTCCCTGAACTACATTCTACCCAGCAAAACTGCACATTTGTTATAGACCAGAGTTCTTTGGCTACTAACTTTTTCTACTGAGTGGGAAAAGTATTGAGATGTTATTGTTCTGTTTTTCTCAGAACATGTTATGTGAGAAGGACCCTACACAGGGTTTTGAATCAGAGGAGTCTCATTCAAGCTTGGTACACATTTGTGAGCATGCTCACACATAGGAAGGACTTTTTAAAAAAAACTTTTTTATATCACTGGAATTCGTGTAAAATTTATCAAGAATTGCTTGGGCACCCAGAAAATGTTTGCACCTTCTATAGTACTTGGTGAAGAGTTAAGGAATGTGTGTTGTCCTTTTGATAGGCAGAGTGTTCTTATGAAGAAAAACCCAGCTTTTCTCCTCTTTTGTAGAGAAGCATTTCTAGTGTGTTTTCTGTCCTCTATGACCCATTTAGACACACAAATATTACCACATTCACCGTCACAGTAAAATTTCACATTCCTGGTCACCGAATTGTGGGATGTTCCACTACACTGAGCAATCCTCTCAGTCACCAGCTGGGTATTAATAAATTCAGTATTACTGAATTGAGAGTAAAACAGTACAAAACAACAGTAATTATAAATGAGAGAAAAATTACAAATAAAAAGTGAGAAAGAATCATCTAAAATTTCATTATAGCACTATCATAATCTTAATCTTTGATGAACATCTCACAAATTTCCTAATTGTGTTGAAGCCATATAAAATGGTTCCTAAGTCCAATGGGGTGGTCAAGTAAAGAATATAGCAAAGGAGAATATCAGCCAAGATGGAGGTGTAAGTACAAACCCTGTGCCACTTATAACAAAAAGAAGGACAACAAAAATTTAAAAACAAAAAACCACCATAAATGAGAAAATCAAACTGTCTGCAAGTCTGATATCCAAAAAGTTAGAGAAGAAACATTCATCCAGACTGTAGGAGAGGTGAAGTTTGGCAGCTAGGTGAGAAGGGCTCTAGACAAGGCTGTGGCTGGAAGACCCAGGGAGCTGAAAGCTGGTGGAGCAGGCAGATTCACATTTCAGTGCAGATAATATGAAAGAGTAACTGGGGAGTGAGACAGCCTGAGCAACCCAGGGTTCCAGTGCAGGAAAATAATGCCCCAAACCTGTGGTTGAAAACACTGATGGGGGCTGACGAGACGGCAGGACAAACTCCCAGCATAACAAAAGAATTCATCAGAGAGACCTACAGGATCCTAGAACATACACAAGGGCACCCACCCAGAAATCAGAACCAGAAGGACCAAATTTGATCATGGGTAATAGGGGAAGTTACTGAAAACAGGCAGATGGTGGAGCAAGCACCATTCCTCCCTCTCAGACCACTCCCCCACATACAGCACCACAAAACAGTGATGTGGGTTGCCCTGCTCTGGTGAGCACTTAAGTTTCTTCCCCTTACTACCTAACAAGCACACTGAGACTTAAAAAAAATTACCTAAAAAGAAGAAAGACCAATGCTCCAGAAAAAATACAACTAAGCAATGAGCAGATAGCCAACCTGTCAGATGCACAGTTGAAAACACTGCTAATCAGGATGCTCACAAAATTGATTGAACATGGTCACAAATTAGATGAAAAAGTGAAGGCTATGCTAAGTGAAATAAAAGAAAATGTACAGGGAATGAAGAGTGAAAGGGAGGAAACTGGGATTCAAATCAACAGTGTGGACCAGAAGGAAAAAACATTCAATCTGAAAAGAATGAAGAAACAAGAATTAAAAACAATGAGGAGAGGCTTAGGAATCTCCAGGAAATCTTGAAACGTTGCAACATCGGAGTCGTAGGGGTACCAGGAGGATAAGAGGAAGAGCGAGAAACTGAAACCTTATTGGAAAAAGCAATGAAGGGGAAAGTCCCCAGTGTGGCCAAGCAAATAGATTTCCAGGAAGTCCAGGAAGCTCATAAAGTCCCAAAGAAGTTGGACCCAAGGAGGAACGCACCAAGGCACACCATAATTACATTAGGCAAGATTAAAGGTAAGAAGAGAATCTTAAAAGCAGCAAGAGGAAAGGAGACAGTTACCTAAAAGGAATTCCTATAAGACTGTCAGCTGATTTCTCAAAAGAGACCTTGCAGGCAAGAAGGGGCTGAAAACAAGTATTCCAAGTCATGAAAGGCAAGGACCTATATCCAAGATGACTCCCTGCAGCAAAGCTCTCATTTAGAATGGAAGGGGAAATCAACTGCTTCCCAGACCAGGTCAATTTAAGGGAGTTCACCCTCACCAAGCCCTTATTATATGAGACGTTAAAGAAATTTAAGGGATCTAACAAAAAGAAGATCAAACATATGAACAGTAAAATGAAAACAAAGTCATAGGTATTAACAACCACACCTAAAACACACACAAAAATAAACTAATCAAACAACTAGAACAGGAACAGAATCACAGAGTTGGACATGTCATGCAGGGTTATCAACACGGCATTGCAGGGCGAGGGAGGGAGAAAATGTACAGAAAATAAGTAGCATAAGTTGTAGGTAGAAAATACACAGGGGAAGGGTAAGAATAGTATGGAAAATGTAGATGGCAAAAAATTATGTATGACCCATGCACTTGAATTAAAGCTGGGGGGATGTTGGTGGGATGGGATATGCAGATGAAGGGGAATAAATGGAGGGGTATGGAACTATTATAATATCATAATCAATAAAATATATTAAAAATAATAAAAATATATATGTTGCTTCCCCCAAACAATGTAATATAATCAAGGAGAAATATATGTACAGGAGTCTGGGTCTCAACCCAGGAACCTCTTCATGGCTTGGCTAAACATATCTCTGTCATCACCAGGCCTGTATTCAGATGCCGCTCATGGGAAGTGCTCTGTTGAGATGCCTACCCCTGTGTGTTTTGATAAAGTGCGCATGCGCCCTTATGAGACTTTGGGAAGTAGTTATAGAACGCAGGATGTCATACAAATTTTCACTGGAGTTCCCAGTTCTATACTGATCCTATGAGTTCACATTCCTGTGCGCCTGAAGCCCGGGGATCACTCCTGTGGATGAAATACTCCTTGCCACCCCTCCCGAAATGGTGAGTTCAGAATACACATGAGAAGCCCCCACACCCTGACTTGTTAGCTGCGAGGTAGAGAGCCCATTTTTTCAGAATGAGGCCCTCCCAGCTGAGCTTTCTCCACCTTTCTTTTGTGGGTTTGCTGCTGAGAGACGTTGCCTGTGTACCCGCTCACCACTCACCTTTTAAAATCACAACTCGGGTACAGTAAACAATCTGTGTGCCTCACTGTTCATAACCTATAGAGCCAAAATTGCTCCTGAGGGTGGAAATGTTCTGAACCCCCTTTGATATCCTCCCTGTTTAATAAGATGCACCTCAGACAGAGAGAGTGATTTGGAGGAAAGTAGTTGTGAAAGGGCAAGGGCAGCAAAGCAGATTATGGATACCAAGTGGGACCTTCATCCCAAAGAGTTCTTCACACATTTTACAGCTAAACTGTACCCCTTCAGGTTGTTATTAGATCACCTGAGGAGATCTAAGAAGTGACATCACCTGTGTGCTCCCGCACAGAGTTAGGAACTTCTCCCAAGAGGGATCATTGTTAAATGAGGTGCTTCAGGAGATGGTCAGGTGAACACACTGATTGACAAGAGTATTCTGGAATGCATCTGCGAGAGTGGAGAGCAGGCTTTGTTTGGGGGAGATAAAGAAATGCTCCGTTGGGTGTGTGTTTCAAAAGAATAGCATACATTCTTATTGCTGTAGCAGTTTGTGGACATCTGTGGGAGGAGAGAGCACATGAAGACAGAAAAACAAACTCAGTGTGATCTTGTAGCAGCTTATTGCCCATCCTCCAGGTGACAAAGGAGAGAAGAGGGTGGGCCTCTTAGCGTTTACAGGTTCTTCTTCCAGTGGTTGTGGTGGGAATAAAGAAAAGGGCTGCGCCTTTGAAAAACACATTCACAAAATGCAAACTTGACTCCTCAGCATATGGTCTCCTGAGAAAAGAACCCAGAGTACAAGGAATATCAGCACCAGGAAGACATGGCAGCTTCTCAGGTAAAAGATGTGTCCTGGGTCAGAGGCTATGCTATTTCTCCTAAAAGGATTAAATTGAGAACCAGCAACCATTATTTTTTTGTTTGATGTTCCTGGATAGTGAAGTTGGTTTAATCTGCTTCTCTCTGTTACTTTTTATGATTCTTCAGGGCAATAGTTTATATAGAGTAGTTTCCTCCTTGTCCCAAGGCCTTCTGTGCATTGTCTTTATCTAGGCTGCATGAGGTCAAGATTTCCTGCCTTTAATCAATAATCTTTAAACACTGAACTCATCTCCTCTGTCACAGATCAACTTTGGATGGCAGTCGTTTGTAATATTTGCTGGGATGGGTTCACAGGCTCGGGTATTGGTGAAGCAGGGATATATATGGTTAAGTTCATATAACTGAAGCATCACCTTAGTATATCACAGGTAAGAAAATGCAGATTGTCCATTGGGAATCACTTTAAATGTTCTGAAAAAGACTAGTCAGTTGAGTAGACAACATCACTGAGTTAATAAGTGTCTCGCTATTTCAATAATTAGTGTACTGAATATGAAGGTACCTGTGGATTGACAATGAAAAGCTGAAGGTTTACTTATGATTATGTTCATATAATGACTTTCTTATTTATGTATTTTGCCAGTAATGTTCATCAATAAGGACATTTCCTTCTACATGTATCAGTCGCTGAATATCCATTGTTCCAATCCACCTGATAGTCACTTGCCTAAGGTTGTCTCTTCACTGTAGAGCTAATAGTTTCCCTTTATCATTAAAAGAGTCTGGCAGGGAATTATTGAAGGATATGACTAAAACTATCATATTTTATTTGAACACTTTCATTGTCTTTTTAACTTCTATTTGCTTTAAAAAATGAAGGCTCTACATTTATTTCATAGAGATCATTGTCTTTTTTTTAAGATTTTATTTATTAATCTTTAGAAGGGAAGGGGGGAAGGAGAGAGGGAGAGAAACATCCATGTATGGTTGCCTTTTCTGCGTCCCCTGCTGGGAACTGGCCTGCAGGGAATTGGCCTGCAACCCAGGCATGTACCCTGACTGGGAATCGAACCGTGAGCATATGGTTCGCAGGCCCGCGCTCAATCCACTGAGCTACACCAGCCAGGGCGATCATTGTCTTTTGACAGGAAGGATGTATTCGGTGAGGCCTTCTTCCTGTACACTTTTTGTGATATTGCACACTCATATTACAGACATACTCTATATTATCACTTTTCATATTTTAGGTAATTTTACAATAATTATACTATAAAATATGTTTAATTCAGTTCAATTGGTAAGATCTAACTCTGCACAAGTGATACAGAGACATTTTCAAAGAAATAAAACACTAAGGAACAATAGCTCTAACTTCTCTTTTATGGTTAAGTTTGTATTTTTTATTGTGTTTAGAAAACACAAAGGCTATCTTTCACACAGAAATTCACTAGATTTACAGAACCACAAAATAATCTAGATAACCTTGATATAAAATTGTATATTGTATTACTTTTCATTTTTACCTTTTTTCTGTATATACGAGTATGTCTGACTGTGTGCATAAAATGTTAAGAATTGAGTTAGTTTGTGTTTTTACTCTCTGAAGATGTTTCCATTTTTCTCAGTTACAAACAGAGCAGTGTACTTCCATGAGGAAGTTGCCACTATGTGTAGTTGCCTGTGTTTTTTTTTAATTTTAGGTCAAGTTATGTGTAAAACTCAAGGTCTACCTGTTAGTGTATGTTTTAGAAAATATTCTCATATCAAGAATAATCTTGTTCTTGAGAAATAGACAAAAAAAACTGTACTTGAAAAATAACTGAATAAAATTTAAAAAAATAAAATAAAATCAATCTACCTCAAAAAATAAAAATAAAAATGTGATAAATCATAAAAAAGAATAACTTTGTTGTGAAAGTAATTACAACTTCAAATAAAATTGTGGCTGCTAGGTTTCTTACTTCTAGGGAAAAGTAAATTGTATAAAATTAATTCTACCAAAGCCATGTGTGACTTACTTAACTGTGTCTTCCTTTTTGTGCCATTTAGAAGTATGGCACATGTACCAGAAAATATGGCTTCATTAGTAAAAAGTGAGATTGTTCTGCCAGCCAAGATGGAAAAGTAGGTTGACCTATTTTGCTTCCTGGCACAAACAAAAGATAACAACCAATTAAAAACAACAAAGCACCAGAAGTGCCCAAAGATGGAACTCTATGGGGTGTGACAACCAAGCAGTTAAAGAAGAAACATTCATCCAGACTAATAGGAGGGACAGATAAAGACAGTCAGTGTGGAGGTGACCCTCAGCAAGTTGGCAGCTGGCATACCAGGAGTGTGAGGCAGTGGCTGGAGGACTGGAGAAGTGAGGTGACAGTTGCTGGACCTGTTGGTTCTATATTCCATGCAGATAAACCAGAAGAACTACAGAAAAGTGACAGAGACAGTGCAATGCAGGGTTTGAGTGTTAGAAACTTAAGCCACAGTACCTCGCCCTGTAAAAAGTTGTGAAGGTTGCAGCAGCAGGAGAAACTCTCAGTCTCACACAAAATTCTATTGCAGGGATCCTAGGATTTACACAAAACCACTCACTATGAAATTAGCACCAGAAAGGGCAATTTGCTTGAAGGTAGTGTGAGAATTGACTGAAAACAGGGTGAGAGATGAGCAAGCAGGATTATTTTCTCTCTGACTTTTCTCCCACACACAGCACCACAACACAGCAAAGTGGGTTGCCCTGTCCTGGAAAATACCCAAGGCTCCACCCCTAGGACTGTACCAGGTCAGAGAGATAGAGAAATATAGCACAAAAGAAAAGAACTGATCAACACTGCAGCAAAAGGTGACTAGCTGGAATGGCTCATGGGATTAAGTGGCAGACTGCCAACCAAACAGGCTCTGATTAAACTCTAGGTTAGGGCACATTTCTCCATTGCTGGCCAGTTCCCCAGTATGGGGTACGTTAGAGGCAATCACACATTGATGTTTCTCTTACTCTCTTCCTCCCTCCCTCTCCACACTCTAAAAATATATAAACACTTTTTAAACAATGAACTAAGCACCAAAGAGGTAGCCAAACACTCCATGCACAGTTCAAAACACTGGTAATCAGGGTGCTCATAGAAACGTTTGAGTAGAGCTACAAAATAAAGTAAGAAGTGCAGTCCCGAAGACTTCCGCCAAGATGGAGGTATAGGTGGATGTGCCGTGCCTTCTCACACAACCAAGTTTAGGGACAACTAAATATTAGCAACACAAAACACAGCCAGAACACGGAAAATTGAACTTTTCGAAAGTCCGTTAACAACAAATTCTGCAGCCTGACCTGTAAGGGGCGAAACCAGTGGCTGGTGGAGCGGGATTGCACAGGAGGACTCGGTCAGACGGGCTCAGGCGCGGAATCCAGAAGCGGAATCCAGGCGCAGGGTTGGACCTAGTGAGCGACCCAGCGAGTGACCAGGCGAGCGACCGCGGAGGAGACAGCAGGGAAGCGGTACTGCGTGTTGACTGGGGTCGCCTATTTGTGTGCGAGCGGACAGGCGAGGGAGTGGGCGGTTCGACCAGGGCTGGCGTCCCCGCGGCAAGCGGCAGTAGAGGGCGCTGCCATTTCCCTGCTCTGACCACGCGCCCACATGCAGAGTCACAACCCAGCGACCTGGGAGTCCAAGGCGCCCTTCCTCACACTTAAAGGGCGGGAACAGACCAAAAATGGCTCAAGAAGATCTCAAAGCCCCAGAGCCTATAAATCTAAGCGATGAAGAAATAGCAAAACTCTCAGACGCACAGTTTAAAACACTGGTGATCAGGATCCTCACAGAACTGGTTGATTATAGCCACAAATTAGAGAAACATATGAAGGCGAAACTAATTGAAATGAACGGAAGTGCACAGGACACCAATAGCGATGAAAAGGAAACTGGGACTCAAATCAATAGAGTGGACCAGAAGAAAGCAAATAATGGCCAAACAGAAAAGAGTCAGGAAGCAAGAATTCAAAGAAATGAGGAGAGTCTTAGGAACCTCCAGGACATCTTTAAACGCTCCAACATCCGAATTATAGGGGTACCAGAAAGGGGAAAGGCACAGCCACCAGTGGAAAACTTACTTGAACAAATAATAAAGGAGAATTTCCCCCAATCTGGCAAAGGAAATAGACTTCCAGGAAATCCAGGAAGCTCAGAGAGTACCAAAGAAGTTGGACCCAAGAAGGAACACACCAAGGCACATCATAATTACATTAGCAAAAATTAAAATGAAGGAGAGAATCCTAGAAGCAGCAAGAGCTAAGGGGACAGTCACCTACAAAGGAGTCCCCATCAGGCTGTCAGCAGATTTCTCAAAAGAGACCTTACAGGCAAGAAGGGGCTGGAAAGAGGTATTCCAAGTCATGAAATCCAAAGACCTACGACCAAGATTGCTCTATCCAGCAAAACTTTCATTTAGAATGGAAGGACAGATAAGGTGCTTCTCAGATAAGATCAAATTCAAGGAGTTCATCATCACCAAGCCCTTATTATATGAAATGTTAAAGGGACTTATCTAAGAAAAAGAAGTTAAAGAAACATGAACAGTGAAAGGACAACAAACTCACAGTTATTAACAACCACACCTAAAACGAAAGCAAACTAAAAGGACAGCTAGATCAGGAGTGGAAACATAGAAATGAAGATCTCAAGGATGGTTAGCAATAAGGGAGTGGGAGGAGGAGATAGGGGGAGAAGGTACAGAAAATAAGTAGCATAGACAGTAGAAAGAAAATAGATGGGGGGGGCAAGAATAGCATGGGAAATATAGAATCTAAAGGACTTGAGACACATGGCCATAAACTAAAGGGGGGTAATGGTGGGGATGGGGGTAGGGTGGAGGGGAATGAAGGGGGGAATAGAACAACTGTAACAGCATAATCAATTAAAAAATAAAAATTAAAAAAAAAGAAGTGCAGTCCCTACAAAATAAAATACAGAAATATATACAGGGGATCAACAGGTGAAAGGAAGAAAACTGGGACTCAAATAACTAATTTGGACCAGAGGGAAGAAATAAATATTCAACCAGGATAGAATGAAGACATGAGAATTTTTTTTAAAAAGGAGGAGAAGCTGAGAAACCTCTGGGAGAACTTTAAGCCTTCCAACATGTTAATCCTAGGGGTGCCAGGAGGAGAAAAGGAAGAGGTGAAATGGAAAACTGATTTGAAAAACAACAAAGGAAAACGTATTAGTTCTGGTGAAGGAAATAGTCATGCAAGTAAAGGAAGTTCTCAGAGTCACAAAGGAGTTGCTTACAAGGAGGAACACACAAAGCTATATTCCAATTCCATTACCCAAGGGAAAAGATAGGGAGAGAATCTTGAACCACACAACACAGAACGAGAGTGACCTAAAAAGTGGTTCCCACAAGACTAGCACTTGATTTGTCAAAGAAAAAAAAACCTTGTAGGCAAGAAGGGGCTGAAAATAAGTATTCAAAGTCATGTAAGGCAGTGACTTATATCCAACATTAATCTAACCAGCAAAGCTATTGTTTAGAACAGAAGAACAAATCAAGTGCTTCCTAGATAAGGTCAAGTTAAAGTAGTTCATCATCACCAAGCACCTATATAAATAATTCAAAGGATTTAATCTAAGAAAAAGAAGATGATAAAAAATACAAATAGTGAAATGACAAGAAACTTACTGTGTTAAAAACTGAACCAATAAAGCAAAACCAAAAGAAACACCAAATAAGCAAACAACTAGAAGAGGAATAAATTGACCGAACTGGAGATAATATAAAGGGTCCAGAGCAAGGTTGGGGTGAAGGGAAAACGGGGAAGAAGGAACAGGGAATAAGAAGCATAAATGGTAGATACAAAATACGGAAAATTTAAAATACTATATAAAGTGGAGAAGTCATGAAACTTATTAGTATGACTCATGGACATGAACATAATCAGGCAATTACAGAGCAGGGGGCTGCGGGTAGAAGGAAAACAGGGAAAAATGGGACAGTTGTAACAGCATAATCAATAAAACATACTTAAAGAAGTAAGCTTCTGGAAAATGTGGAAACACTGGCCTCACCTACAACTCTGAAATCAAAATCTGCATTTTAACAAAACTGCACTTTTTGTTGCCTCAATGAAACCTACACAACTTACCTACACTTTCAATTCATCTTGCATTTTGTAGCTGAGAAGTATACATAACTGATTCTGAATGATACAAATACAACACTCAACAATCCTTATGCCTGTGTCTCTTCTTTTATTTTGAAGTTTATTTTCCTTAAAAATAATGTCTTTGCAGTGGATTTGTAGACATGTATTATCCTCACTTGTCAGTGTTACAAAAAACATTAGAGAGTATTAGAGGGTCAAAGTGGCCTTATTGAATGATTCAGGTTATTTCCTAGGTCGAAACCACTTTTCATGTTAGATGACACTGAGAACTGTGCTGTTGACTCCTTAATAAAGTTGCCCCCCCCCTTTTTTTTTTTTAGCAATCTTTGACCTTCAAGGATGTGTCAATAGATTTCTCTTGGGAGGAATGGGAATGCCTGGACCCAGCTCAGCGGAAATTGTACTCAGATGTGATGTTGGAGAATTACAGCAACCTGGTGTCCCTGGGTGAGCCTGACTTCCTTCACATTTCCTGCTCCACCCACAGCATTTTCTGTATATAGCATCTTTTGCAGACTTGACTCTGTATGGTAGACTTTCAGATTCATGATCACAAAGGAGAACTTGGAGGTTATCTCCTGTAGAAAATGAAGGCTTTGAGAACTATAATCCTTAGGAACTCACCGAATAAATGTATGTATTGTTTAAACAATTAAGGTACTATCAGAATATAGAATGATCTTCTAGAATATTTTAATTTTTCTGCAGTGTTGTTTCCTGAGCACGACATGGATTGGAAATGGGGACTCTTTAACAAATAATAATATTTCTTTTGTACACAGGTCTGGTGGTTTCTAAGCCAGTCCTGGTGACATTTTTGGAGCACATGAAGGATGGCTGCGATGTTTCCAGGAAAAAGTCAAGATCTGCACCTGCAGGTAGGTGAGAATGCAGATGTTACAAGTGAGTAACACAAATGTCTCAGAAGAAGCCAGACCTGCAAGTGGAAGCTGTGCGTCAGTGGAAAGGATTTTGAAATGGCCAGGCTTATATCTGTTGTTGTCATAGAGGGACAGGTCATCTCCAACGTATTTCATTTTTCTACATGCTCTCAAAATTCTAGTTTTACTCCAGTGACCCCTGTTATCATACTACCAGTTTTGACCAAAGACCTCGCTCTCTAAAAATATATACATACAATCTTTTTAAAAAGTGTGCAGTGGAAACTATTAAGTTATTTTTGGACTGTGAGGAACACCATGGTCTGACCCCTCTTGAATTGCTTTGGGGACTCGGAAAATCTGTACATGTTGCTGAGAAATTATACATGAAGACTTTTCCTCTGTTTTTTTAAGCTTTGTTTTTGTGCCAAGAACGGAGGTCATGAGGCTCAAATGGTTGAGATCCTAGAATTTTTTTTTAAATGAATACCTCTGCTTTTTTTTAAAAGATTTTATTTATTTATCTTTAGAGGGGAAGGGAAGGAGAGAGGGAGAGAAACATCAATGTATGGTTGCCTTTCGTGCATCCCCTGCTGGGACCTGGCCTGCAGGGAACCTGCCTGCAACCCTGGCATGTGCCCTGACTGGGAATCCAACCGCGATCGTGTGGTTCGAGGCCCGCACTCAATCCACTGAGCTACACCAGCCAGGGCGAGATCCTAGAATTTGATGCAGAAATCCCAGGGACTTTGGACAGGTGTCATTTTTTTCTGACTTAAAATTTTCAGCCCTCTGGGGGTTTCAAACAAGTACCTACAAAGTTTAGTCTTGGTTATCTTTTCATAGCAAAATGCACCACCCCAACGTGAGACAATCCACTTTTCTGTTTCACTTCAAAATGTCCTTGTGCTCATGCAAATGTATCATAGTTTCTTGATCCACTTATTTCCTAATTGACACTTAGGTTGCTTTCAGCATTCATCCATTGTAAATTGTGCTTCTATGAACATTGGGGTACATAGGTTCTTTAGAATAGGTGCATCAGCATTATTAGGGTAGAAGTAGCTCCTAAATTTTGGGACAACATGGATGAATCTGGTGGGAATTATGGTAATGAAATGAGCGAGGTGGTGAAAGACGAACACCATATGACCATACCTACAAGAGGAAATTAATCAACAAAATGAACAAGCAAGCAAAATATAACCAGAAACATGGAAAGAAGGAACAAACTGACAGTAACCAGTGGGACTTGGGAGGGGATAGTGGGGAGATAGAAAGCAAGGGTTTTCAGGAACATGTATAAAGTTCACATGAAAAAAACTAAAGGGAGGTAGGATCAATGTGGAGAAGTAGAGATGGCTGTGTTTGGGAAGTGATGTGGGGAAATGGAGATAAGTGTATTTGAACAACAATACAAAAAAACTGTAAAAGGAACATGTCCTTTGACGTTGCCTGGGCCACTTAGGGAGAAGTATAGAGCATTCAGAGGGCAGATCAAGCCTGTTTGAGAAATTTAGGAGAGTCGACCTTATGAGGCAAAAAAGGTCATTTGTGTGGGAAAGCCACTGAATATGACTTGGGTGATTTCTCAAGTGGAGTGGGGCAAGGCCTCAGGGAATCACTAGGACAGAGCCATAGCATTAGCCAGGTAGGTGGGAACTCAGATATAGCGCCTTCTAGCTCTATGGTAGGGAGGGCTCAGCAGGGGAGAATGGCCTCAGATGACTTGTGTGTGAGAGAATGCACCCCCTCCAGCCTTAGTCCTGAAGCCAGACAGTTGAGTCCCTCCCTGAATGTCCCTAGCACCTTTAAATGTGCTGTCTCAAGGCCTGAAGGTCAGAGCTGTGAGTCCCTGTAAATCTGTGTCAGGCCCTTTAAGAGAAAGACTTGGTCTCCAGCATCTCTCAGTCTCAATCAGCCATTATCACTGCTGATTTTCCAGGGTGATTCCTTTTATATGATAAAGTCTCCAAACATTGTTGATTGATTGATATTTTAGTATTTATTTACATATTAGGAAAGTAAATGGTAATTTTAAGATCAGTACTTAAGACATTGTGGGACTCGATTCAAATATGAATCAGCCATACATCAATTGCCATAAAATTTAAGGGCACATTTTTTGTGTGTTTTTCCTTACACTATTCATGATGTATCTTGTTTCTTTCTGTGCTTGTTTAATGGTCAATGGCTGTTTTTTTTCTTTGAGTTACAAAAAAAGTCTCCATTTTATATCTGTCCTTAGCTGAATTTATATTCTCTATATGTCCGATATAAACATTTCTAAGTTGGCCCCAACTGGTGTGGGTCACTGGTTTGAGTGCCGGCTTGCCAACCAAAGGTTGCCAGTTTGGTTCTCAGTTGGGGCACATGCCTGGGTTGTGAGCCAGGTCCCCAGCAGGGGCACATATGAGGCAACCCTACATTGAGGTTTCTTACCCTCCTCTCCACTTTGTCTAAAAATAAAGAATAAAGTCTTAAAAAACAGCTTTGCAAATTGAATATAACTTTGGAAAATGTTTGATTCACACCTTCCTGTTCTTCTGTGGCAACCTGTGTCAGTGTTCTACTTTGCCATCCCTTGACCTGATGAGATGTGCACCATCTCCCCCAGCAACAATTCCCCACCCATAGAGGAGCCAGCACGGGGCATTGCTTAGTCCTGCTCTTACAGTATGCCAGCTCTGGGACCAAGGGATCCCTGCAGATGGCTGACTATGACCTGTACAGTGCAAATGATTGCACAGTGCGACCTAAGGAGAAAGCCATTGGGAAAACGGACAGTCAGATTCCTCTGCCTCTATTTCAGTGTCTTTGTTTTTTGTTTATTTTTTTCTGCTTGCTTGTTTGTTTTGTTGTTTAGCTTCCTGTTAAAGGTGAGATCATATGGTATTTGTCTTTCAGCACCTGGCCTATTTCACTCAGCATAATGCTTTCCAG